CTTAATGCGGAGGATTCTTTTACTCCAAACACTTTCAAAAGAAGATGTAACACACGTCAGTTTAAGATATGTTATGCATTAATAGATTGTCTGCGACATGAAAAACAAAGTAACTTACCAAACTGGGAAACTTTTTCTCAACGTCTAATCGTTCATCGCAGCTCTTAGCTATGGTCGCCGTGGCGGAAATGGTGCTTTTTACAACTTGAATAGAAACTAAATAACACAAATGCCACCAGTTAAAGGGGTGATATGTAAAAAGTGAAACGTAACTTCTACAAAGATGGTAATCTCAAATGTCTAACCACAGAAATAAGGCTACGACCTGTGCTGACTTGAATCAAACGATGCTGCCCACTTCAGCCATCGTGCTAATAATCTTTCACAAACCAAACATGTTTGAGTATTGAATTTGTCCAACGTACAAATATGTTGACCAGTCTAATCATGCAAAAGAGATTTGCATGTTCATGCAGATAATACAACGAGGCCCCTTAAGATTCCAAATCTTGAGTTGAACATGACATGGGTGTTCTCATATATGCAATTTGAACCCAAAACGTTTGGATACAGCGACAATAAATAATATTTTATTTTTTCATTCAGTTTTTTAACAAAAATCTCAGTTTAAGAAATCCCTAAAGTAGTCTGTGTCGCTTAAGGGAGCTTTAATTACAATTTTTTCTGAGAACGGTATGGAGGTTTCCCGAATGTGGTCACTGATTGATAGGAACTTATTGCTTACGAGAATGGTCACAAAGTTGAAAGTATTAGTTGTATTCCTGAGCACAAAATGTGAGGCTAAAATTTTGTAAAGGGAATCGCATGATTTTTCCTGTGCAATTTGGAATAAATGTGCACGAATAAATTTTCAAAGGCTTACAAAATTGTACGAACCCGTAGGGGAGTGTCATTAGCAAGTGCTTATTTATTCCAAATTGTACGAGAGAAAATTATGAGACTACTTACTTAGTTATCAAATGACTAATGAAAGAAAACAAGAAAAAGTGAAACAGAAAAAATAATAATTCAACTGATTGGTTGACGCACAGCACAACGTTTGTCAAATTCCAAGTTTTACAAGAGCAAAATATTCAAAATCATTCAGTTGTGAACTCGCAAAT